TGCCAGCAGAGCCCGCTGATTTGTCCCCGCGGCTCCTGGGGGCTCCAGCATTGCGGTGGCTGGGGGACTTCCTCTGGGCTGTCTCTCCTCCTCCCTTGGTGGGGTCTGATTTCCTGGTCTGGCCCCTCCTTGGTCCCTTCACTCTTGGGGTCCCTTTGGGTGTCTGGGGCTTCTGTTCTCCTGGTGCTGGACTCAGTGCTCTGGGGGGGCGCCTCTTTGGCTCTCCACAACCACTATTGAGCATTTTTCCTTTGGATAAACTTTACATGCAGTAGTTCACTCTCACAATCAACTACAGGTTTTTGGTTCCAGGAACTCAGAGATTCACTTCCACACAGAAAGCCCATATTCTGATCTTCACAGAGTACATGTCAGTTTAAATAATACTACTAATAATTCAGCAATAGTATCTAGGTGTTACTTTATTCTATGTCTCCTTCCATGTCTATTGGTTGTTCTGTTCTTTTTCCATCTCTTTGCAGGTGATGAAGCAGNCAATCACTGGCCATCCCTAGCCAATCACTTCCAACCCCTAGTCAATCACAGGCCATCCCTAGCCAATCACTTCCCACCCCTAGTCCATCACTGGCCATCCCTTGCCAATCATTTTTTTTTACTTTTTTATTTTATATACTCTAATAATCCCAGAGGGCAATTACTTCTCTGCATTTAACCCATCCCCTTGGGGAGCAGTGGGCTGCCATTCTGCGGCACCCAGGGAGCAGTCTGGGGATCAAACTCACAATCTCAGGATCCAAAGCCCTATGCCCTAACCACTAGGCCGCCACCCCTACTCAGTCAGTGGCCACTCAGAACCCAGGTCCAAGCAAAGCTGTCCTGGTGGCCAGAACTGACTAGATCCCTGAACAGGGGTTCCACCACACATTGCTAGTGAAACCCTCATTATCCACTGCTGAGATTGTACGGCTTCTGTCTTCAATTAGAAGATCCAACTCACCGCTAAGCTCGGTGCAAAGCTTGCTCCTGTCCATGACAGGCAGCCAAAAGTTAGAAGACTGACTAAAAAGTAAAAGGTTGACCTTCAGTCAAAGATGTCCTGTGCCAAGTGAAAACAATGTTTCAAAAACAGTTATTCTCTCCCATTCACACCCTTCCAGGAGTCACAATTGTTTCCCATGTAGTTGTTTAAATCCCCCATCTTTGTTTAACAGTGTTACTTTTCAATAGCTAATATTTTTACTGTTGCAGATTTTTTTTTCAAATTTATTATTAAACTATCAATTTTTAAACTAATTTCTCAGCAATAAATTGTTCTGTCATGAAAACAGGACAGAAGGACCTGATATTCAAGTCGAGACAGACAGTGGGATAATTCAAAATGTTTATTAAAACAAGAGCGGGCTGTGGATCCACGGTATCAGTGGCTAGGGCGTCTATCACTGATGCTCTGTTGGAGAGAATCCCAGGTTAGTGACCACGATAATCTGACGAAGGATGATTATCCATGTGAGTCACTAACCTGGTTTAACAGTTAAATCCATTGCCAAAGAGAGAGGTAGGATCCAAGGTGGGCTCCCAACAGGATGTGGCGGGCACCGCCCAAAGTGTCTTAGATGCTGCAGCCACAGAGAACATACAGGAGTCCGAAACCAGGTCAGGGAATCAGATCAGAACAGGAAGGTTCACAAGTCCAGGAGTCCGAAGACAGTTCAGGCAATCCATTCAGACGCAAACTGACAGGCACAGGGGTTGAGAGGCAAAACTGGTCAGGATCAGGTAATATAAAACACTATGGTACGCTAAAAACTCCTCTCACTACTTGCCAGCAAGAAGGAGAACAAGAGCAATAATCTGGCTCTGATAGCTGGATGCAAGTACCTTAAATAGACACAGGAGCTGGTGGATCACATAAGCGGTAATGAGCAAACGGGCAGAGTTAAACAGGTGAATGGAATGAGACTGGCATCAGTGCCAAGATCATGACAGCTAGATCAGACAGCTGCAGCTGATCCAG